ATTTATTTCAAACCCACTTACTTATGTAGCATCAAAGGCCCTTCACTATCTGACTCTGACTTTCTTTTTACTTTTCTATCCTGCTGTTTATCTATATTCTGTGCTACTATGCTCCAATTCTAAGGAACACCTACTATACAGGATGCAAYAAGTCCTGCTTATACTGCAGCCAAACTGATCTAGTCTCTATTCTTACCAAATTTTCTTCTAATCACCACCTACAGAAAGAGTACTCATTCTTCAAAATCCAGCTCCAATGCTTTCTCCACAAAACTTACCTTGATCATCCCCTGAGAAATTACTACTTCAATCTATGAGGGACCACACAGCAGGTGGTACTACACCTGAAATTCTTCCTTATAGTAAAATCATTAGTACCATTCAATCTTCTTTAGTATATGACAAATTCCCAAAKAGCATGSACATTGCTATATGTATAGCTCTGTATTCTTCCTGGTGTCCTGCATATAGGTATCTAATAAGATTATTTAATAACGAATAAATTCTGTAGACACTTTGAATCACTGCTATTTCCAAATTTTTTTCCTCTCAAAGGATAAAATTTTTCACTGAGAAAAATTGTGCTTCACATTTCACTTTCAAATTTGGATCCTCTCGTGAATTGATGTATACCACTCACCTCATCAGTCTGTCTCTCTACATCTAATTAGGAGAAAGGTAGAGTTAGTTATAGGAAAAAAGACAATCTCTAAAATGCTAGTGAATCAACAAGTAACCATCGAGGTAGCAGTGTGTCAGTGAGACATAATTAAGGAGAAGACACAACTGGAAAGAGCTCAAAGAATTTGAACCATCAATGGTATCTAAGCAGGAAAGTGATATGGTCAGAACTGTGTTTTGGTCTAGAGCTCAGATCAGCTCTAAGAGATAAAAATAGTGAAATCATGAGAGTTAAGACTGTCCCAGAAAAAAAGTACCCAGATAGGAAAGGGCTAAAGATTAAATTCTGAGAAATAATTATGTTGGGGGGAAGGGAGGGAGGTCAGTGAAAAACACAAGTGATTTGAGAGACAGTAGACCAAGCAGAGTATACTGTCTGTCTGTCTGTCTCTCTCTCTCTCTCTCTCTCTCTCTCTCTCTCACACACACACACACACACACACACACACACACACACACGAAAGAAAAAAAAGGAAAAAAAAACAAAAGACAAAAGAAAAGCAGAGGAAGTGAGCAATAAAATCATAAGATAGAATGAACATTATCAAAGAAGAATCTCTTGGCAATCATAAGGTTGCTGGCACACTGAAGACTTGGCAGCTTCAACATAATTGGGGGGGGRATTAAGGAAAAAGGTGAAGAATAATAAAGGCAGCAAATGGGGGCTGCTTTTTCAAGAATTGTGACAGTGAATAACGAGAAAGAGCAAAAGTTTGAGACAGAAGCAGAACACACATTATATTTATATAAAGAAATACATGAACTTTTCTTATTGGCATAGAAGTGGGGGAAAAATTGAGGGAACATGCCATCAAGTTCAGGGGGTAAAACTAGGACCAAGCTAGGACAGAGGGAAAGCAGCAATTTAGGAGGTGGCATGGAAAAACAGCAGAATATAGGGAACACTAGAAAAATTTGTGGTATTGACCAACGTAATTAAGGACATTCCCAATAGTTACGTAAAGTAATGGGCTAGAATTAAGAAAAGTAAGGATCAGAAGAAGAAAAAAAAGAGGTTCGAAAGATTGCTTTTTGAAGTAGGATAATTAACTAGATGTGAAGAAAATGAGCACTGAGGGCCCAGATAAYTGCAAAAGAAAAGGAACAATTATATGTTAGAATTAGACACAAGTAATCTAAAACACAAGGTAAAACTATCAGATTACTATAAATGTTCTATAAAACACAACGAAAGAAAAAAACAAGATAAAGTAGCAATATGGAAAAGGTTTTGTAGATATCAGCCTCTCTGAGCAGTTGATAATTGTATATGTCAAAATGTACTACACAAATCTTTGTATACCCAAAAGAATTCTCAGATTCAGCAACAGTCCATTTGCTTTAAAAAGAATAAAATTATTTTAATCAACTTCCAATATTAAAAAATTTGGTGTTTTTTATTGCACTGGGCTCTAACAAGTTTCACGTCAAGAAAGTTCTGACGTGAACTTTCAAAACATTAGCTATTCCTTTAACTTCTGTCACCCACAAACTCAATAAACTTGATTTCATCAAAGTTACTGGTAAATAACTAAAGAATGTATACTTTCAGYAGGACACTAAAGTACTCCCTTTAGGGTTGATGACTGTTTATTATTATTCATCGTTTTCCAGGTAAAGTTGTTTAATTTATAATCAACTCTTATTTAGCTCCCATTTCTCTATTTTGACCACTAGACATATCAATTTGTCAAATGTGCCATGGTGAAATCTAATTGCACAATGTCAACAGCATCTCATTAATAAACCAGTCAACTAATCCTATCAAAAAAGGAAATGAAGGCTGGGGATACGGCTCAGTTGGTAGAGTGCATGAATTTTCGTGCACAGGCCCTGGGTTCAATCCCCAATGCCAAAAAAAAAAAAAAAAAAAGGAAATGAGGCTAATTTGGTCACTCTGCAGTCAGCCCTGTCTCTATTCAAGGTACCAACAGCCTTGCATTTAAATGATGCTACAAATTATGTTCTAGACGTGGTAGGTTCTCACTATATTTCTTCCAGAAGATAAACTTCCATTTTCCCACTYTATAATTACTACTTTTTAATGTAGGAGTATGAGGCAATCTTCCCACTTCCCAATAACAAGGGGGGAAAAAAAAAGTTTTCTGGCCAACTTGAATACATAAACTTTTGTTAATAGATAACAGAACCAAATGTCTATTTATAAAGCCACTATATAACATAAGTTATACATATTTAAAATCACATGCTATATAATATTCATTTAGAAATGCTGCCTTTTCCCATAGTTAACATTTCATAAAATAATTTTATTGAAATTTTTCCAAAGTATTTTTTGGCATCTGTCTTCAAGTTTACTWATATAATGGAGTCACTCATTTTCAATGCATTATCACCTTCCTTTTATTTATGAAAGTTATTTAAACATTGTTTAAGTTAKAGCACTTTAAAAAAAGGCACTARCAGAGATTTATTTAAGAAACTCAGRTTTACACATGAGAAGGAAAAGAGGGTAAAGGCTATTTTGAAAGTAAGATGCTCCTAATTTCCTCGTGATCTTTTTACCCTAACCCTAAGTGCCCTTTTACCCTAAACCATAAGTGCCCATTTTCTATAATGTCTGGCAGGTTTTGTTTGTTTGTTCCCACTCTTTGGTGTATGTTGTAGATACAGACTCATAATCTTTACAAGGTAACCACTTAACTTGCAATTGACGGCAGTAGCTTTAGGTTTATACCTCTTCCAAAAAATCCTTTGTGAGGCTTTGTACAGAGAGGAGTAACTTGCTATTTTCTGATAGAGAATTTAGAGGGTGGGAGAGGAGACTGTGCTTCATGTTCAAGTAATCAATGAGTCAAAAACTCACAAAGAATAAGGAACCAAATCATTTCTTAAAACTATTTCTATTAACAAAAAATACTGCCCACTAAAACATGGATACACTAATTTCAAAAGTTAAATTTTCTTTCTGAACTAATACATTAAAATTTTCCTATATTGTTACAAAAGAAAGAGTAGAATGAGTTAATTCCTATGGATTAGTTTTCTTAAAGAAACAGGAACATTAGTCCTAGTAATTTACTGTATTGTATATTAATTAAGTGCCAGGCACAGTTACAAGAACTTTACATTAATTCACTTAATTACAGTGCTTGCTCAAAATAGGTGTTATTGCTCATTTCATTTTACTGATGAGGAAATGTGGGCACAAGAAATTAAGAAACTTGTCACACAGCTCTTAAGTGGCAGAAATTCAGAGTCTAGTTCTAGGCCCTTGTAAAAGGTGATATATTTCTCTTAGTAAAATTTGATTATTTTATAAGACTCTTCAATTAGGCAGCTAATTTAGTGGCTTAAAAGAGATATGAAAATGAGGTTTCAGTACACTTTAATATATTTTCTTATTTGTTTTAATTAGTTATACATGATAATAGAATGCACTTTGCGCTTTAATATATTTTCTATATTTTTAATAACCATTCACCCTGTCTGAGGGGATAATGATGGCTCTGAGAGAGAGATAATCACTACTCCCATTTCAGACAGTACTGTTAAGGCAAAAGATACTAAAGAACAGAATAGTTCATGTCTTCCTCATTCTCCTCCAAACTTTTAAACTTATAATGGAGAATCTGTCCCTCTGGGCCTATATCTCTTTTGCGATAAAAAACTTGAAATGTTTTATTTGATAAGAACTTTCCTAAAACGATGGACATAATATCAGCACTTATTCACTGTCATTTGGTAGTGTCCTCTAATGGGGGTGAAGGTTGGGGAACAGCCTCTTAAGGAAAAGAAAGGGAATAGGAAGTCAAAGAATGAGAGAATAGGAAGGAAGGTGTAGCATGCAGAAAAGGCAGGAGGATGGAGTGGGAGGCACTGCTGTCTGACTCGCATTGCGTGCAGACAGTATGAGAACAGAAATTGAGGAGCTGTGGTAGAGTCATTGAAACAGGCAGAATTTTCTTGGATTTCCCTTTTATGCGTCCTAGACTCTGACTCTTGCTTCAGAATAAACAGAACCTAAGAGGAATAATGGCCCAATGGTCGGGGCACAGCGACTATTCATCTCTYGTTCCCAGCCAGAGCTGGTCCCTAGAAAACACTGCTCCCCGCCAGCCCTCGGCAGGGCTTCTCACACACCCGTCAGCCAGAGAGAGGGGAGGGACCACCAAAGCCCCTCGACCCCAAGGCCAGAGAAMGGCGTCCCGGTCCTCGGCGCAGCCACCGCGGCTTCCCTTCCAGCAGACAACCCCGGAGCACTGCCGCATTTCGCCACTGAACTTGAACCMAGCCGTTCTCGAAGAGCTGAACCCGGAGGCTATGGAGTAAAAAGCAAGCTGGAGTAAGGGTCTTACCTTTAACAGATTAGACGTCGCCATGTTCCTTCAACTTAGACTCTCGCGAGAGGAGGCGAGAATTCGTGGCGCTCCGGGCCAGGCCACAACAGGAGGCCCGAGTTCCCACCAGGGCCCACGGGCCCAGTGGCCCGTACCCGGGGTGTTCAGGGCGCTCGGGCGGCGTGCCGGCAGCGTTRACCTCGTCCTAGGCACCGGAGCTTCCTCGCTTTTTTCCCCTACATGGTCACTGGAGCTTCCCCACACGAAAGAGCTCATGCAAAAGCTCAGAGAGACAGGAGCAACGAATGGTGAGACGGTAACAGGAGCCGACCTGACTTCGAGGAGGAAGCATCGACTCTAACGGACTCCCCGACTTCTTCGGATTAGCCTTTGTGGTTGCACCCACAGCGGCCACCGGCAACGAATTTAACTCAGCTTAGGCCCTGCAGCTCAGGTTCCGTGGCCGCATCACGTGATGCGGCGGACGGGGGCGCGCTCGGGAGCGAGCATGGGAGCCTAGAAGCCTACTGAGTCCGGAGGGCGGGGGCGCGCCCTCTGCTGGCGAGACTGGAAGTTCCCCTCACCCTCACTCCTTGCCCATAGTAGCTTGCCGCTCACCCCAGACCTGGGGACTTCGGGTTAGAGGAGATGAGATACATTATCATTCAGGGATAATGACAGCTGTCTTAAATAACTGGCTCAGAGAAGGAACCCGTAAATGTCTGTTGAATGAGTGAATGCACAAAAGTGTTAACTATTAACATTTCTGATCAGGAGTGACTGGTACTTAAATATTCTATTAAAGCTKAAGTGGTCAGGGCTGGGGCTGTAGCTGAGTGGTAGAGCACTTGCCTAGCATGTGTAAGGCATTSGGTTTGATCCTCAACACCCACATAATAAGTAAATAAAGATATTGTGTCCATCAACAACTAAAAATATATTTTAAAAAAGATTAGGGGATGAGTATTAATTGGATTCCTTGAAGGAACACTGGCCTAGAATATCCTAAAYCATAGCCCGCTAATTTTATCCCTTCAAACTACAAACCACTGGCCTAAGGAAGGGAACATTATTTATACTGAGAGTTTACAGGATACCTGGTATTGTATTATGCAAGTTTTAAAACAGTGTTTGTTCACACCCTCATAATATGTAGAAGTAAATAAGCTCTGGAGTAAAGCAAAACAAAGAGGTAAGGCTACCTAAGGACTCCAATTCTATATGTGGTAGGTGCTGGAAATACAGGATTAAATAGAGAAGACCCCTGCCTTCTTGGAGCTTATGAAGGGAACCAAATATTAAGCATAGTTACTCAAATACTTTTGACCTTCCATATCTGTGAGTTCCAGGTATGTGAATTCAAACAACCACAGGTGAAATATAATTGGGAAAAAATTTTATGTGTACTGACTTTTTTATCCCTTATCATTATTGGCTAAACAATACAGTAAAACAATTATTTACATAGTACTTACATTATTAACATGTATTATAATAATGTAGAGATGATTTAAACTATACAGGAGTATGTGTGTATATTATATGCAAATATTACACCATCTTATATAAGACATGGACATACAAGGATTTTGGTATCCTTGCAATCCCCTGTGGACTGGGAGAGATAGCTAAATTACTTATAGTGTTGTAGTATTAAATGTTACAAGGGAAAAATATACTGTGCACTTGAGACATGGTAGAGAGAAGAACTAATATGTTAATCTTCATTCAAACAAGCCACCCATTCCTTATGAATGGACCCTTATGAATGAACCTTAATGACTACTTTTGAAAACTCCATTCCAACATCCCACTGTCTAGCCAAAAGAGTTATCTGGTAACACCACCACTACAACTCTTTAACATCAATGAGTCCATTCCGTTGTCATATATCACTTCCTTGTCATGTATCACCTCCTCCTGTTTTTGTTTTGTTTCTCATCTAATTTAGACTCAATGATCCATCATTATAAAAATATATGTATGTATGTATATATTACATTTTTTTCCAATGCTGGGGATTGAACCCTGCAGCACTCTACTAATGATATACATTCCCAACACTTTTTTTATTTTTTTAAATTATGAGACAGGACCTAAGTTGCCCAGGCTGGCCTTGAACTTGAGATTCTCCTGCCTCACCCTACCAAATCACTGGGATTACAGGTATGTGCCATCATGCCTGGCTAAAAAAGTCTAAATATTTAAGATGTTTAAATATTTACTTTTAAAATAGAGAACACAAGTATATGGCACAAAATTATAAAGATGCTAAAAGCAATGCAATCAAAAGTAGGCCTTCTTCTGTTTTCTGGGTTTCTGTTTTTTTTTCAGTATTGTGATAGAGATTAGGGTTATTCTGATTTTTGCATTTGTCAAAATTCAGCCAATGTATCCTTAATATGGATACATTTCATTCAAAAGAAAATATGGTAAACACAATTTGAAATTCAGTTAATCATGTCCATTATCTAGAATGTAGGGGTTAAGTGAATTTATATTTACAATTTATTTTGCAATGTATCAAAAACTAAGGTAGATTGATGGTTGAGTAGAAAGATTAATAAAGCAAATATAGTTAAAGTGTTAATGACAGAGTCTGGGTGGCAAATACTAGTGTTCCCTATGGGTAATTCTTTCAGCTTGTCTATATGTGTGAAATGTTTTATGATTAAACATTGGGGGAATTAAGAAATAAATAAGCCTCCAGCATCTATTCTTTCTCCATAACCTCCAGCATCTATTCTTCCTTCTTGGAGACAACTACAGATACTGTGAACCCCTAGGATGTTCTGTACTTATATAAGCATTCCTATATACATTCTTTTTCTTCTCCCCCACCCCCAAATGATGGCATACTACTTATACTTTGTAACATCCTTTCTTTTTTTTTAAATATATTTTTAGTTGTAATTGGACACAATATCTTTATTTATTTTTATGTGGTGCTGCCAATTGAACCCAGTGCTTCACACATGCGAGGCGGGCACTCTACCAGTGAGCTACAGCCCCAGCCCTCACATCCTTTCTTTTCACTCAGCAGTATGATATAAATTAATGAAAAACATTTTTGTGGGTTTTTTTTCACTAACAGAAAGTCAAACAATTGTTGATCTAATGCATGCATTGTGTCCAGAATGTTTAGGATTATTACTTCCAAAATAGGCTCTTGAAATCCATTTGATGAACAATAGTTATAAAGTTAAAGTTTTTATTTCTGAGGCCATAAACATTAAAARTGTTTGCACTTATCAAGAGAGTATACAAAGTTTAATCAGTAAACTATGTATTTATGAGAAAATTGGTGAAAAAACCTAGATGAGGTACCAAGAGTTCACAGGATTTTGGAGAACAAGGAGCAAAACAGACCCAAGAGTTGGAGGAAGATGTATATCAGAGCCTCCTGAGCCTCTCAGTACCACAGGGAGAAAGAGTCCACCTTAAAAGACTGAACCATTGTCTATTATCAGAAAGACTTATAGGGGCAAACCCTAAATCTAACCTAACTGGAATTTTTCAGTATACTTATATCAATTTCTATTTTTWAAAAATTGTTCTAATTAGTTATACATGGCAGTAGAATGCATTTTGACATGTTGTACTTAAATGGATCACAACACATTCTTTTGTACATAGCGGAGAGTCACATCAATAGTGTACTCATATACATATATAGGATAATAATGTCCATCTTATTTCACTGTCCTTCCTACCCCTACACCCCCTCCCTTCACCCCCTCCCCTCTGCCCAATTCAAAGTTCCTTCATGCTTCCCTACCCCCTCCCATTATGGATCAGCATACACTTATCAGAGAAAACACTCAGCCTTTGGTTTTCTGGGTTTGAC